CAGGAGGGTTGGACTAGATGACCCACAGAGGTCCCTTCCAACCCCTGCCATTGTGTGATTCTGTGATTCTATGGACAGCAATTAATCAAAAGTCTGGATGCAGTGCAGCAATCTAGAAATATTATCCAGACTGCAAAAAAAGCTCTGTTGTTTTCCAAATATTGTTACCTGTGGACCATTACTTCATTTCTTTCAAGTAACAATAATCTCAAATGTCAAAATGTCATGCAGACACACATCTTTAAAAAATCTATAGTGTTCTGAACAAACAAAAAAGACCATGGGGAATCTATAAGGGATCTTCATTTTTACACTGAAGATCTTTAATGTTGGGTACATACCAACTACAGTTGGCTCCAGGTCCACGAACGCTGCTCTGGGAACATGTTTACCAGCTCCTGTCTCACTGAAGAAAGTGTTAAATGAATCACCTCCACTTCCGGTAGTTTTATCGCTAGGTATTTGACCATCGGGCTGGATCCCATGTTCAAGACAGTACAATTCCCAACATGCATTGCCAATGTGAACACCAGCCTGACCAACATGGATGGATATGCATTCACGCTGCAAAACAAAAACAGAACAATGATCATGAGGTACAGAGCTAGGTGTCCTCTAGATTTTGTTCTCATAATAACTAGCCATCTGTGGTTGTATCTTTCAATGATCTTCCTCTGCTGTGGTATTCCCTGTTTGCTCTTGAGTGACAATTTAACCCCTCAAATTGTCTCCTGCTGGCAAGACTCTACTCACCTTAGCTGTCCTGGGCTGACTTTGAGAATACTGGAAGATTCTTAAAGACAACACAGTCTCTGTGAACACATAGGGCGAATACAAATTCATCATCCCCTACCATGCTGCACGTATGTTACATCTTGAATATTCTGCCTAATCTCTCTTGCACCTTCCTTTAGTTTTGGAAGGCTTCTTTATATAATATCCCCAAATTTCCTTGATTTATTGCCAGATCACATGTGGGGTAACTGTTACAAGAATCGTTCCTGCACAGGACCACTTAGTATATTCTCCTTTTATAATAAGCATAAAGATATCTAGCCCCTGGCAATTCATACATATTTGAGTTTCTCTGTGAAATCAAATGTCATCTGCCCACTTTTAGCCAGCTCCTTTGATTCTAAGCAGCCATGCCACGTCTGTTTAATCTCTCAATACCTCAGTTCTGTCTGACGCCTGAGATAGAAATAAGCTGTTTTTCTAGTTTATTGTTACAGCATATCTGGGAAGAAGCAGAGGTGGAAAAGTAGGCTGGCTGGGCTGCTCTTTCCTGTCTTCTTCACAGCTTCATCAAAACTTCTATCCTTGATTCCACGTTTTAATTCTCACCCCCGTGGTTCTGTCCAAAGTCTTTTGCCAGCGAGACTCACTCTGTGCTGATTCCCACTTCCATTCGTTGGCACCGAGTTTCCACAGCTTTCACGCCGCTTCACCGGTGGCTGCTCCCTGGTGTGGTCCCGCCAGGCGCGCGGGAGCCTCCC